TGGCATGCAGCACGTGCTTCTTGGTGGATGAGCGCAAAATGCGCATGCTCTAGACACAGTTTATTTCAGTTGGCTTCTGGCATTCATATGGGCAAGGAGTAAATGGATATCTCTCTCTAAGTAACCAATTAGTGAATTAGAACAGTACAGAAATAGAATAGAATAGAAATAGTTGAGAGAGTTACCCATTTACATTGTTACTATACGGCAACTTCACTTTAAGTTTCAAATCCATTTCATTTGATCTTATCACATTTTCATTGTTCATTACATTACAAGGGGATTTCACATTTAATTGATTACAAGGGGATTTCACGTTTAGTTGATTGCAAGGTAAGTTCATGTTTAGTTAAGTTTAGTTTAGTCTTCCACTGCGAACCATTCAGTGACTTATGTTTTCGGAAAATGAACTCTAAAAGGCATTCAGCTTCACGGAGAACACTGAAATGCACGTGATTTTCATGAATGTTTGATATAAAAGCATGTTAATAATTCTTTAAAGGAGTCTAGCACCAACCATCTTGGTGGCTAGATGTTAGAACACATGGTTAGGCTGACATCATTGGTTGCAGTTTAACCTTCAGTCACATCAGGACTGCTTTAGAAAAAGGAAATACTACAATATCCGTGTAGTGCTTTGCCTTTAATTGCTTGGTATGTAAATACTAATTGTGGGATAATAAAAGGTGATTACAAAACTTTATTTTTCATTTTTTCATTCCACTGCAAAACACAAACTATTCCCAGCCTTTCAAATTGCATACAGATGCCAGCACACGAGGTCTTGGTGCCGTGTTATATCAGACACATGAAGGACATCAGCAAGTTATTGCATATGCCAGCAGGAGCCTAAACAAGTCTGAAAAAAATTACTCTGCTCACAAATTGGAATTTTTGTGTTTGAAATGGGCCATCACGGAAAAGTTTCATGACTATCTTTACGGACATGACTTTAAAGTGCTAACGGACAACAATCCTCTGACATATGTGCTCACCAGTGCGAAGTTGGACGCAACAGGGCATAGATGGTTGGCAGCACTCTCAGCCTATAACTTCACGATATCATACCGGCCTGGGAAGAACAATGCTGACGCTGATGTGTTGTCACGACTTCCAACACCCAAGGATCAGGCGACTATGAGACAGATTTCATCACATTCCATCAATGCTATCTGCAACATGACAGCAAACCTTTTTCTCGTGGAGAGTATCTGTTTCATCAGCCATTATTCAGGAGCAGGAAGTAGAAATAACTGATGAGAAGTGTGATGCCAATGCCCGAGACTGGAGAAGAGCCCAAGCCAGAGACCCAGCCTTGGATACTGTTATGACTCATCTGAGGAATGGAACTAAGCCAAGACCAAGTGATTGTCGAGCAGATCCTGAGATGAGTGGTCTCATGAAGAGCTTTTCAAGCTTCAAACTTCAAAGAGGAGTCCTTTACCGAGTTATATCAGTGGATGGTGAAACCTGCGAGCAACTTGTTCTGCCAAGTAGATGTCGCCAGTCAGTCCTGCGCTGCCTCCATGACCAAGTTGGACATCCCGGACGTGATAGAACTAACTCTCTTATTCGGGATCGCTTCTTCTGGCCTGGAATGACTAAGGACATAGAGAACCATGTCAGCCAGTGTGAAAGATACATTAGGAGGAAGAGCGGCACAACAGTGAAAGCACCTTTAGTGAGTATCAAGACCACCCAGCCCTTGGAGTTAGTCTGTATGGATTTTCTGACATTAGAACCATCCAAGGGAGGACAACAGTGTATACTAGTTATCACAGACCATTTCACCCGCTATGCCCAGGCTTATCCCACTAAGAATATGAGTGCTCGGACAACAGCCGAGGTATTCTTCAAGAACTTTGTGGTCAACTATGGACTACCTAAGAGGATCCACTCGGACCAAGGAGCGAACTTTCAGGGAAAGCTTATGAAGGAGTTGTGCAGTCTCACACAGATCGACAAGTCGAGAACCACTCCTTACCATGCTATGGGTAACGGTCAATGTGAACGTTTCAACAGGACTCTACTTAATATGCTTGGAACCTTGGATGCTAGTGGGAAGAAGGACTGGAAGAGCCATGTTGGTCCTCTTGTACATGCATACAACTCTACAAGGCATGAGACGACTGGATACTCACCATTCTTCCTCATGTACGGTAGACATCCAAGACTTCCTGTTGACCTAGCTTTTGGACTGGATCGACCCAAGCAAGGCCAAGTCCCTGTTGGAATATACAAAATCACTGAGAGACCGACTGAAACAGGCGTATGAACTTGCTGCTGAAGCTGCTGACAAATCCCAAACAAGACAGAAGACTAACTATGATGCCAAAGCTAGAGCTACCATGTTGGACGTTGGAGACAGAGTGCTTGTAAAGATCGTCGCTTTTGATGGGAAACACAAGATCGCAGATAAATGGGAGGAGGATGTTTACATAATTCTTTAAACCGAAGCTCCTGGACCGCCCATACCATCTGTCGACTTGTTGCTGGAGGATGTAGATGCTTCTGCACAAGAGGATGTGCAGACTGAAGCAGACACTCCTGAGCCACCACCAACAGTGACCACACCTGACGACAGACCTAGGAGGAGGATGCTACCTACCTCACCACTTAGGAGGTCACAGAGAGAAAGAATGAAACCGCACTGGCAGACGAGTGGGAAGTATGTGATGGCGACGACAACAACACCAAAGCCAGACTGGAAATCAAGAGCAGATTACCTTAGTTCACTCATAGCCACAGGAGTCGTAGCAAGCAGATGTGACCAGGCATCAGAAGCTCTTGTGAATCTGGTAACAGGAAAGCTATGATGACGAGGACGTCATTTGTCGAAGGGGGGAAGTGTGTGGCGGTGTCATTTCTATCATTTATCTGTATATATATATGGTATTGGTTTTAGACAGTGTAATTGGTGTATTTTATTAGATTATGTACGGTACCAGTTTCCAGCCTAATTGCTCCAAGCTGAACTTGGGCTGGTAAGTTCTTTTGTTTATTGTGAGGGTCAAAAGTATTCTTTTGTTTTGCTTTTAGAGGGCAAGCTTCTGTACTAACACAAGCACTAAGTCAGTCTACTATATACAGCGTTCTCTGGACAGTCACGACATGAGACTCGTATTTTGACACGTATTGTGACAAGGACTTTCACAGCTTCATCTTCACTATACATCTCCAAAGGTTAGTTTTAATACTAGATTATAAACATTATGTAGGATGTATTATTTGTTTTAGTACAGCATGTATAATGTAAACATTATTTTAGTGTAGATATACTTGTGTGATTTGAGTGTATGAATGTAATTTATGTCACAAGAACAGTAACGATAATAAACACCATTCATGTTTATGATTCTCTGATGTAATATACTATAATATTTTTTATTTGATAAAGGCGACAGATATAAGTATTTGTGTCATATTGTTTGCCACGAAAAATGTGTGTTGTGTATAATTATGAGCATATTACAGCATAGGTAATGTGTATATTTATGTAGGTTTATCTATGACATTCTAATTGAGATAATGTTGGTAGTAGGTTTAGATTTGAATTAATATGGCAGTAGATTACTATGTATATTATTTTCTGATATTTATATTTAAGTTAGAATGACATGTGTATGTTATTTATAGATGGATCTGAGTGACAAGTGATTTGGCCTACTATCACCTGAGTGCCATACATTCGGTAGGCATAGTAATTTAGTTATTCATTGTTTATATTTCATTTATGTATAATATACATCTTGTATATAAAAGTGCATTGATGCAGTTGAAGTAATATATGGAAAACATCATATAATAATGTGAAGAATGCATTAATTATTATATCAATAAAGTTGATAAGTGCAATGTTTTAATGTGTATAACTATTTATTTATTATTTGTTCAATTATGTTACAGGGTAAATATTGGTATGGAAAATAACCTTGTGGCTTCTTGGTCACAACTCACCCCCAGCAGGCGTTGGTCTTAACTGTGATATTTGCACCACCCTAACCTGCTACAACTGCATGAGTGCACATATACCTCCCCAGTCAACATCAGGCATGCTAAAAGCTGAAAAAAGTGTTCAGACAATATCAAATGGCAAACCAGTTTGGTTATAACAGCCAGGAGTCAGTTCTTGAGGGGACAAAATAATTATTTGAAAGTCATATGAGTGAAAAATAAGTCTGTTTTAAGAAACCTTATAGAAACCTTCATTCACACAAAAGCACCTAACAGAAAGATATATTGGTATGCTACATTGTTTGCTATAAATAAGGGGATTTGTGACATGTCAGCAGTGTACATGCTTCATACTCAAGATAACGGCATCGCGTAACTTGACCGGCAAGCGATTGACACAAGGCAGAAATTGTTGTGGCAGTGGTGACTTTATCCTAATTTGTTGTCAAATTCATCAGTTTCAACAAATTCAGAAGGCAGGAGGAGGGCTTGATGGACAGAGGTACCCTGGGGGTTCGTGCTGAGTTCGACCACAAATGTCCCTAACTTCACTGTCATTATTTTAAAATTTACCTCCATGGTGTATCCATGGTGAAATATAAACAGGAAACAGCGTTAGAAATTGGCACTAGTCCTATAGTCCTTACCAAACTGCCCAATAGTAAAGGTATCCTAAGGACTAGTAGAAATTGGCCCATTTTAAGGATTTGCTGTATGTTATCATGATAAGGACAAGTGGACAAAAACTGTTAGTTTCTAACCCTCTTAAAGCATGTAAAGTATGAATTACTGAAATGTGCACTCACCCTACAGGTTACACACAACCAAACGTTTTCCCAAAGACTTGTATAGTAACGTTATATTTTAAAAAAAAATAACTAAGCATTCAACAGCTATTACCTGTACGTGTGTGCACAGCTTGGCCTTAGAGCAGGAATAAAAACATAAAAAATTACTAGTTTAGCCAGCTCATTTTCCGAGTACAGGAAGCTAAACACACCACCCCCAGTTTTGCACCAAATGTCACTTACTTGAAAATAGCTGTGGTCACATTCAGCATAAGTCATCATGTTGGAAAAGACAGTACTAAATATAAAAAAACATGGTCAGTTTTAATAACTGGATGGATGTACATTTGAAAGACATAAAAATCTTACAGAATATCCTCCAATCACAGCCTGCAGATATCTCTCGATCTGCACTGAAAGCTTCCTACGAAAACTGCACTGTCCAAACTGATTCTGATTTGGTATAGTAGAACCAAAAGCCTTATACTAACTATAGTTATAGTTAGATATTGTGATATTCTCTGGAAACTGGAGGAGGAGTAGATTTCATGAAGCTCCATAAAACAGGGGTAGTAACTCTGTCAAAATTTGTCGAAATGAAACGGGACTGCGATATGTGTATCATCAACATGTCGACGTATTGTGTGTAGAGTGTCAGGGATATTCTCTAAAAGCTGGAGGAGGAGTTGATTTCACAAGCTTAGTACCTCTCTCACAATGGGCGATCTTTTTCAATTTATCTTCCCTTCACTAACCCGCTAGGTGCGCTGATCTGGACGGTCCAACCTTAAACTGACGGCGTATGTGGTATGAGCGATACGAGTAATACATGTTACTATGACGCCTATAGACAGTTAACTAGTACAACCTTCACCTCTGTCGGCAACGGTCACACTTGTGTGCGGACAGTATATCTTTTGGCCTAAACAATTATTTATCTATTGCCATGTCCGGAAATAAATGTTCCTTGATATAATTATACATCAGGGATGACCACGACTGATTAACCACTAGATAGGCGTTCGAAGCGATGCGGTGAAATCAGCTGATCGTTCTTCCCAGGTCGCTTTGTTGACGTTTTGCAATCGGTACTGAAAGTGTTGCCCTTGATGTATGATTATGAAAATTAAGTAGATTTTGTATACGTTCCTATATCTATGTTGTAGCATCGCCGAGCAGGCTACATCATATGCATGCATTTCATTATGTAAAACTGTGAGGCGATACGTTACGCGAAATGTGAAGGTCTCATGCAACGTTGCCCGTAGGCTCATTGTTGTGAATATGGACAGCAACACATGTAAGTATTTGTCAGATATATAACTCAGAGCAATGAGAAATGTTCTCAAGAAATTGTAAGAGTAACAGGCACTGTAAAATGACGTCATCAACTAGATATCATGATACAATCTTCAAAATAAAAGAAATGGAAATCACTGAAATCTGTTTTGATATTTAAGGGTTAATTGGTGCATGTTGTATACAAGGATTTTATGTATATGAATGGTAGCTGTTTGTTGCCAAATACTACCATGATTATATTTCAATATGATCAATGAAAGATATATATCATTTTGGCCTTTTTTTAATTTTACAAAGCAGAAAAAACCCAATTCAGACACAGGGGACCCCATAAATTAGTTAAAACACATATTCAAGAGTATTTGTACCAACTACAATTTTTATAAAATAAAACAATATATTCATACTAATTGCCAATCTCTATAATGTTGATTGTATTAACAATGCAGTGTCTACATCCAGTTTGCATTGACAATAAACATATGATTGTGACACAGATAAAGCGGATTCTTAACTTCATTAGGCCTTGCTTTTTATGTTTCCTTGTTCTAAACTGATGTTTCAAATTCCAACATAAACAAATTATTAATGTTTTTCTTTTTTCTCTTCACACCAAAAGATATCTGCATTGCACAATGACTCTTATTATTTTATTTAATATCTTGGCACACTTGTGCATGTGTACTAGTATTGGGACTCTGGTATTCTTTCAGGTTTGGAGAATCAATCAATTCATTGTGAATTTTTTTTAATTTCTTACATAAGTTACTCTGATCTTGATAAGATCAAACTAGGTCCAAATTATTTGGAGAAGATTAAATTATGCAGTTTACACATTTCAGCCAGTCTGTCTAAAATCTGGTCCTATTTTTAATCAATAATAAATGAATGAAAATTTAAGAATAAATATACCTTACCTGAGTGAATCAGTCAATATGCATATTGACTGAAATGTTCAGTCAAAATACATATTGGGCCTGATTATAGACACTGACTGTAAAATATGTAAGTATAATCTGTTATATGCAAAAACAAATAACATAAATAAATCCATTTATCTACATGGAATGACTGTGGGGTTCAATTTCCATTTATTTAACCATCAGAAGATTTGATGATAAACTTTCATATTCATATTTTCATATAAAATTCATATTTGCTATATGATAATAATAACTACAAAATATACTTTAAACTACAGGTGTCTTGAAGCACTGTTGAATGAAAATCAGGATACTTAGATACAGCAGGATAGTGTGTGGGTTTGTATGGGAAATTTGTCAACATTAAAAAAAATATAATGTTACTAAAACAAGACGATAAAACTTTGATTTAGATCTTTTTATGCATCATACACATTTTGTGGGGTAGTCAGTATGATTTGATGTTTGTTGGGACACATCTCTGTAATTAACTACTATTTTAAGAGCATGAGTATCAGAATTCTGTAAGAAATGATGGATCAATGAATTAACACCTGTGATGACTCAGGGCACTTAATGGTGGGACACATGTTATAAGGGGCAGAATAATATGGGTAAATCTCTTATTTCAAAGTATGATGACTAGTACCGGTATGCATATTGCAACTGAGTAACTGAGTGCTTAATAGCTGCATGGTAGATGTTCATTAGGCCTATTTCTACAAAAATAATATAAATTTAAATATTCAGATGCAACTTTAACTTTGATATAAAAAGTAACATTTAAAATCAGTTGTTTTATTATTTTGAACGTTATTTCTTCTTAAAATATTTGTAAGGGCACGGATGTATACTTACTATATAGATCATTGGTAAAGGCCTGTCAAAGATGTCTGTGTGCTGCAAATGTTGGCGTATCACTAATTTTATTAAATTGAAGTCCGTGGTAGTATTTGTTGAGATTTGAATGCATGAATTGTTGTAGGAAATAACACAAAGGCTGATAAATAAAATGAGTTTGCATTATTTCATCGATGCAATATGTTCGCCCAGACTGACAGAATGCCTCGCTGATTTCTGACGTAGAAAATACCGTGACAATATACCATTTTTCATGACGTTTTCCCCGCTATATTCCAAAGTGACAATTTGTCTTGTAGTTGAAGACTCAACAAATGTTGATAATATAAACTAATAATCACTACAAAATATGTGCTAGTTAAAAATATTCAGTTGTAAATGACCGTTTTTGAACGAAGGTGCAACAGGATAACTCTTTATCTTGGCTCCGTCTTGACATGTCAGTCGTTGTCGCAGCGCGCATTGATCCAGGAACCAGACCGGAAGCGACAGGTTGGACCGTCGCTTATATCATTTCAAAAGGAGAGTTATTGCCCTTTGGAACAAAAAGATTGCCCATTAGGCAAATGAAGCTTTGTAAAACAGGGGCAGTAACTCCGGCCCGGCAGGTGATAAAAAAACTAGGGTTGTAATCATTCACTGATACCTACAATATCATTGATACTTAGGTACACACGACAGTTGAATTGTCAGTTTGTGAGATCACATATTCTCTATAAATAGAACAGGAACTGACAGAGTTACCTCCTGTAATGGCAGAAGTAGAACAGCGCAACCTGTAAGCATGGCAGAACACAAGGACGTGCCTGCTAACTGTGACATTCAATAACAATCCTTCATTTAGAACTGTTTTGATGTTGTGTTTTTCTTTGTTAATGTTTATAGATAACTATAAATAAATGTATGAAGAGAGAGGTTTTAAAGCTGTATTTCAGTGACTTCATCATTTGTTACCATTCGATGTGGTGTATCATGATACCAGTAGTATCAGCAGTCCAAATCATATGGCAAGATACCAGGCGATACTCAGCTCTAGAAAAATACTCACATCTTTTTCCCTATAACCAAACTTATATTTTCTGTGTTTTCATGGCATAAACACTGATTGTGTTTACTGTGAACCTGTAACTGTCATCCCCTTGGATGAGTGAAAATGATGAAGAGAGAGAGCAGTCCAAGACAGAAGTTTGCAGTGTGGACATCAACATGAACCCACAAGAAAGTGAATGATGACACCAAGTAGACACCAAGCTGAGATGAACCAAAGACAGCTTGATCTGTAACAATCTCAGAATGATGGACTATATTGACTGGTTAGGTCTACTAATACCTACAGGGAATAATAGGGAACATCTTTTACATATCATCATCATCATCATCATCATCATCATCATCATCATCATCAACCCAGCAAATTTAGAATATAAAATTTAATATGTCAACTTTTGCGTCCGAGGCTTCAAATCACCAAACCAATCGGCACTCCATAACTCACTAAGAGCCCCCTTCATTGATAGTTTAAACATAAATTGGCAGCCCCTAGAAGGTAAACACAAATACAAAGAGTCATTTACCTGGACACAAGACATGGAAAAATAGATACAATTAGCAAACCAATACCCAACACAACCTAAAATACTAGAATACATAACAGTAAAGAGGAAACAACCCATCACAGGCAGAACATCCACCAAAACAATTTTCTTAACATTTAAAGCCATATCACTCCCCACTCACATAACCTCGGCGCACTAAATGATAAAGTCCATCCAATCAGAAAAAAAACAATCCAATGTGACCAGTGCCACTCTTTTGATCACGACTCTACTACATGCAAAAATGACCCACATTGCCCAAAATGTGACTCTGAAAACCATCTAATACAGGAGTGCACATGGGCCCCTTTCTGTAGGAACTGTAACCCCGAAGGACATACAGCAAACCAAAATACCTGTCCAATCAAACAACATATTTTTAAACTTAATAAAAACATAAAACAGTCACATGTACCAAAACCAGCAACCATACAACAACACCACATTACCACAGACGAGGAATTCATACTACTGTCAGACCAAACCCTAGACTCTACAGTTAGCTCCTTCCAACCCCTACCCCCACTCCCCCACCCCACCACAAACCTCAAATCTCAGAGACAAAAACCTAAACCAAAACAAATACTCACAACTTTTCAACCAACCTCCACACACCCAGTAACCATAGTAGACATAAATACACCCTACCCTAACCCTTAAACCAGACCTACTCCCCGGCCCCTACTACAGTCAATACACAGGCCCAAACCCTAATTTAAATCATCCCTCCCCATACCACTGCCACCCAACCACCCACCATCACAACCCCCAATCACATCAGCATGCCCAACCACTCAAACGCCCATACAACCACACCCTCACCCACATTACTCAGCAAAAAAACAAAGTCATTCCTTGCCAAAAGAAAATCAAAACTTAAAACAGCACCTTGAGCAGCCACAACTCAACAAAAATATAACAACATAAACATGATAAACAAACGTATAGAGTTCACAGCAGCTGCCCTTCTGAACTATCACTGAAGTAAAATTATCTCAAAACTAGACCCATCACCATGTAATTCATAACTATATCTTTGACAGCAAATCTCTTAAAAACAAACTGGGAAGTTCATAATGTCACAGGGGGCAGTGATCACTGGCCCTTAAATATAATATAATAAACATATCCCTTTTAACTAAAGTTCAAACCCAGCAAACAAATTTCAATTTAAAACAAGCAAACTGGCCACTGTTCATCAAACTCTGCAATCAATCTGACCAACCCCATACAATAACCACTAATTATCATCACAAAAAATTCAAATACAGCAGAATTAATGGCCATATCAGCAGCACTACACAAAAAACCTGAACCAAACCAACTTTCTTATAATTATGAAAAAAAGGTTATGAATTTTTTTTTTTTTGGACCAAACATAATTAAATGGGTTAATATCTTAACTAAGAATGCATCATCTTGTGTAATACAAAATGGACATCTCTCCACTTTTTTCAGAACCAAAGAGGATGCTGACAAGGTGACCCACTTTCACCCTACCTATGTTTGCTTGTAGCAGAGATGCTAGGAATCATGATTAGGAATAATAAGGGCATGAAAGGAAAAACAATAAATGATATGGAGTATAAATTAGGTCAATATGCAGATGATACACAGTTATTTTTAGATGGATCTGAAGACAGTCTTAGAGCTGCAATTGATACTTTGAATAAAGTTTATAGAATATCCGGTCTTAAGGTAAATATTGACAAAACTAAAGCTACATGGATAGGTTCAATGTCAGGAAGCAGCATCAAGCTCTGTGAGGACACAATACTAGACTGGCATGAGGGAAGCTTTGAAGTCTTGGGAATAATATTTAATCCCACATTACATGATCAATGTGTAATAAATACAAGAAAAAGACTCAAACATATTAATAGATTACTGGGTAGCTGGAAAAAAGACATCTAACCCATCTGATAATGTTATTGGAAAATTGACTGAACTATTTTATACATTCATTTGAAATAACAAACCAGATATAATAAAAAGATCTGCCTTGATAAGGAAATATGAAGGAGGTGGTCTGAGAATGATAGATACCCGCAAATGTATTGATTCATTGAAGTTATCATTTTTAAGGACAAGTTTACAAAACCCAACTTCATCAACACTAAAGAACTTCCAATCAAAACAAATATTTCCTTTTGGAGCAAATATTGATAAGTTTATTACTTTGAAAAATCCCTTTTGGAGGGATTTATTGAATATTTGGGGAAATTACTACAAAAAATACAACGTTGACAAACAAAGTATTTTATCAGAACCATTATGGTTCAATCACCAATATAAAAAAAAATACATTCTAAAACTTTGGTTTAATTAGGGTATTCATAGTTTAAAAGATTTATGTAGCAACAACAGATTTTTAACATTTGAGGAATTACAAAACCAATTTCAAATTAAAGGTATTACACCTGACTACAACTGAGTAATGCAAAATATCCCTAAATCATGGAAAAAACCCAATAAATGGCAGATCTTCTATCACAGCTAACTTATACATAAATAACATTTCGAGAGGCTTGTTGATAAGAACAAAGGGCTCCAGAATATTTTATGATAAACTTATAGCTACAACTAACTTTCCTCTGATGTGTGATAAATGGGAAATTGAACTTAATCAAAGCATTTTATGGAATAACGCTTTCCCTTATTGTAGAGTGTGTACCAATGATGTTAAACTAATAGATTTCCAGTACAGATTTATAAATTGAGCTCTATATACCAAAAAGGAATTATGGAAAATGAAGATAATAGATGATGATATATGCTCATTTTGTGTCTCTGAATCTGAAAACTTATACCATGTGTACATGTATGTAGAATATGTATTTGAAAACCAAATAATACTTCTTGCCAAAAAATACATTTACCAGTAAAGCACTATGAAAACTCCATTATACTTTCCTTTTTTCATAAAAATATTGAAAGATGTATGTGAAATAGAGAAATTCATCGCAATGAAAACTAGTAGTATTAAGAGATTCAATAAAAACTGTAAAGAATTATCAGCCTACTTATTATAATTTCTCAGTCAATGAATAGATGTACTTACCCATCCATATCTGATCATGTTTTAAGATTCTATGAATAGCTACATGTACATTCCTCATGTACCAATGTTACATATATGTTTACTGAATTGAAATAAAAATATTTAAAAAAAACCCAAAAAACTTTCTTATAATTTCAGACTCTTTAGACTCCATAAAACAATTTAAAGTGAATACTCAAAAACATGACTGGACTCTATAACAACATGATTAAACTAACTTCAGGATTAAGATCAGATAAATCAGTTGATCTACCATGAATACCTAGCCACTCAAACATACGAGGTAATGACTCCGCTGACACAGCAGCCAAATAAGCAATGATAAATCCATCCCGCAAACTAAACTTTTCCACCTCTCTAAGGCCGAAGCATTAAAAATCTAAATTTTCAATCATTTATTAAAAAATCTAACTCTAACTGGAGAAAATCCCTTTTCACCAAACCTCCAATACCTTTTAGTATTAGAGATATGGTTAGAACAAACACATACACCACTATCAACAATCAGTCAAACTTGTTGCCTTCTTTTTAAATTTCAAAACAACAAAAGGCACCACTTCAGCCGTTGATTAATACATGTACCAGGTTTACATGAAAAGTCTTTCTCAGTTTTCAAGTTGTGCTCTGGAAACGACACCTACCCCCTCCTTTTGAGATTAACTCCAAATTGTTTCCACAGAAATCAAGAAAAAGGAAAAATGCCAAAAATCTGTAAAATAGCAAGTTTTTTTAGGGCACCTCTTTGGAATCTGTTTGATATATCTGCCAAGTTTTGTTAAAAGATTTTCAATGGTTTTCCAGTGACGCACTTGAAATGAAATGATTATGGGCGGACAGACAGACAGATAGACAGACAGACTAAGTGTCGACCATATCTGCCGCATTATATGCCAGGGGGATAACAAGAGGTACAGATTATGTTGTTTAAGTTTCAATTCTCTTCACTTGCATCTCCAGTATTTTGATGGCCTTTAGAGTCATGTTTGAGATATTTCATGAGAAATAGGAATTTCATTTTCTTTACTCAAAATGGAGAAGGAAATGTATAGTTATAAAATGTCTATCATGGAATCTTTAAACTATGACAAATCGAAAGAAAGTGAATACTTCACGTGGCAGAAAGGCAGTAGGCAAGTCCTCTTGCATGGCTTCAGATACAGACACAACAACCAGCGACTGACTTGTGTACACTGGAAATATGTACAGCGCCAAGGATTAGTCAACACAGCAGAGTCAACGCAATGCAGTTTATTCTGCAACCATAACATCGACAGAAAAACCGGAAGGCCAGGTTCAACCAAAAGTTGGAATAAACAAAAGCGAACGCGGATGCGTGTAATGGCACAGGGTGGCTGCCTGGGCAAGTGTACCCCAGTGGGTCGACACCAAGTTAGCTCAGATGGTTCATGGTGCCCGTCCAAAATCCCTTAAGAGGACTTACACTGAGATGGACCAGAGGTTGCGGACAAATTATTAGCAGGATTCAGACTCCCCTTAAATTCCCAAGTGCTGCTGGACAACCAAATAACTGTGCTGACATATGACTTTAAAGATAGGTTTTAAAGTGACAATACATTGGGACACATTTTATATAATATATATCTACATTTTTAACTTGTTATGATAACTTAATACAAAGAACCATAACAATTTGAAATGTTGTGAACACACAAAGATATTTAGAATGTGGTCAAATGTAACAAATGTTATATTTGGGATCACACTTTCTAAGCCTCCGTGGCTGAGTGGGTTTGATCGCTGAGTTTGTGAGCTTGTGATTAGGTGCCTCGCTCTGGCAGTGTGCGTTTGAATCCTTCATTGGACTCAACCAAAACAAGTACTAGAATCTGTACTTTACTAAGAAAGTGTTATCCCAAATAACATTTGTCATCTTTGAAACATTGTTGCAAATATTGTATATTTGTTACTGAATGTCTGAAAGGGTGACAGAAATTTTAAAAAATAATAAAATATGAGCTTGGTGTGTTTGTTTGTGCCCACAATAACATGGCGGGCTATACCACTTAATGTCAAGGTAGACACCAGTAGCTGAGACAGTCGCTGATGCATAAAGATGTTTCTGTAACACTGTAGCCATGAGTAGACTCAATTGTCCATGTGTCTCGTCTGCTTGGTGGATGGGAACAGACATTTAACCTAAACAAAAATACCAGGAAATATGAGTGAATGAAGTTCATGCATATGATTAGGAAGCATGAAAGAACTAATTTTTCACACAAACAGTAAAATCTAACAAATAATGCTGTGAATAAATCTAGTATCACTATCACCCATGTTTTGTTCTACTATTGGGCCCCCAGGTAACCCCTTGAAAATTCAGGAGGGGGCTTTTCCATACCCGCATCACCTGATTGATGAACCCAGTCTAGCCCAGAGCACCTAATTACTTGTTTGTCTCCTACTGGTAAATTAGGTGAAGTGGGCGAATAACGATGAGTAGAGCTGTACGTCATACACAATGGTTCAGCAAAGTGACTCTCAGCAATTGTTAAAACAAGGTAAAACTACAAAGTTATCAATCTGTGTTTAGTGGGGCCTATATAAGACATTTGAATCTGTAAATTATCCCTGTCTCCCATAGATATTCATGGGATGAAACAGCAGAGAGACTGGCAAAGCTAGCTCTGGACAAAGCAGAAATACACCCTATTCCTTTCAGCAATATGGAGAAAATGCAAAATCAAAGAACAAACGGCATGGCAAGCCCAAGGGACACAAGTGAAGGTTGCAGATGGCTTTACAAAATACAGAATTCAAACCCAAATAGGAAAAAAAACATTCTCCTACTGATCTGTAAAGATGGTCAGCTCCTCAAACATATCTTTGCAGAGCAGCCAAAGTAATTACATCCATTTCTAAACAAACACAATTGTATCAGTAAGAAAAAAGAAACCATATCAAAATTAAAACTGAAAGATGGTCCAGAGTAACAAACTGTTCAACAGTTCAACCACATGAAACAGACATGTTCTGTACAAACAATTATATCATATTTTGTTAACATAATTATGAGTGAGTGAGTGAGTGAGTGAGTGAGTTGGGTTTTACGCCGCTTTTAACAGTATTCCAGTTATATCGCGGCGTGTCAGCTTAATGTGGGAGGAAAGCCCGAAGTGATGCAGGTCTCAGACGTTTACCACTTTGGTGAAACCCACGAGCACGGGTATGGTGCTGACAAACCTAGAAACATAATCGGGGCGAACCGGGATTCGAACCGAAAATCATAGGTTTCTGGCATGCCCAAGGGACGCAACTCTGCACAGCAAATCGCGGCGCCTTAGACGACTGGGCCACCCGTGCCCCCACATAATTATGATCTCTAGAGGGGCATTATTGCCATCAATCATCTAAACTATGACTTGACTTTCAGTGCATATCTTTATTTTATTATGATTATTTATTCTGAACTTTATTTTGTCATGGGCATTGAACAAATGCTTTGTTGGGGCACCTCTATTGTGCTGACATGTCTTGTGTGAGAGGTTAACATGCACATTATACACAGATGATGTGAAAACTTTTAATTTTACTTTCTTTATTATGCCTGTTTGGCATTATTGTTTTTAACGTTTGAAAATCTATACTGCCTCAACATTTGATACAACACAAGTGCATTTGTTTTCCATCCACTATGTGGTTGTTCAAAGTACACTTATTACCCCGTTCAATGGATCAGTGTGCACTTAACAATCATTCTCAGCTCCCTGGGGAGTATACAACCCAAACTGCTTCGAGGCACTGGAAGGTTAACAGTCACATGGACATCTCATCCTACCGGGTACCCATTCACAGCCTAGCTGCTGAACAAAGTCGATCCAACTACTCCCCACAACCGGTATAGCTTAACTTGACATGATTTGTGACCTGTGCACTGTGCACAGGACCACATGCCACCAGCTCATGCATTCTGATACAGATATGATAAATGATCAATAATTCTTATATTAAAAAAACTTGACACCTACTTCGCATACTCTGAGTATCATGTTTTACTTGGTGGGTCAGTCAACTGCTTGGTGGTCAATCAGAGTGTAAGCCCAGGCGTCCTCTGGATTGGCTAGTTTTAAATCTCTGTGTCCCACTTTCAAACCCATTTGTTTTAACCCTGCACTTGGCATGGATACTTCGCTGTGCACTGGACTGCAAGAAAGGATATACTTATATAAAGGTTAGTAGTTCAAGTTATAATTGTATTTTATGCCAGTATAATTATGCAAATCACTTTAGTTTAATAAATGTCTATATAGATCCTTTATTATATTTAAACATGTCACATTTACTAGTATTAGGGTTTGCATGGTGAGTGTATGTATACTAGATATATTTCATTTCACTATATGTGTGTCTGTGTTAATCTAGGACATTTGTGATTTCAGTAACTTGTACTTTGTATTAATAATTTGATAATAGTTTACATGTGATATTCATGTGTGTAGATAAACATACCTTCATGATGTATTTTATATCATGAACAGGTTTTCACGAGGGTTTTGTCATATTTACGAGGGATTGTGACCACCCAAATACACCCCAGTGGGATTCAGCGGGTATATATATATATTGCTTGCATTGTAACATAACATTATATTTATTGTACCATATTTATATTGAATGTAAATCCATTAAACTTACATATCTAAGCTTATAATTGTGAAATGTTATAAATGATATATCATGTATAGGTTCTACTACACCAAATCAGTACCAGTTTGGAGAGTGCGGTTTTCGTAGGGAGCCTTCAGTGCAGATCGAGAGATATCTGCAGGCTGTGATTGGAGGATATTCTGTAAGATTTTTATGTCTTTCAAATGTACATCCATCCAGTTATTAAAACTGACCATGTTTTTCTATATTTAGTACTGTCTTTTTCAACATGATGACTTATGCTGAATGTGACCACAGCTATTTTCAAGTAGGTGACATTTGGTGCGAAACTGGGGGTGGTGTGTTTAGCTTCCGGTACTCGGAAAAGGAGCTGGCTAAGCTAGTCATTTTTATTTTTTTTATTGCTGCTCTAAGGCCAAACTGTGCACACACGTACAGGTAATAGCTGTTGAATGCTTAGTTATTTAAAAAAAAATCATAACGTTACTATAGAAGTCTATGGGAAAACATTTGTTTGTTTGTAACCTGTAGCTACAAGTGTAGTATATTATTATTTAATCTGCTTCGGTTTTGATGTACTAGATATAATTGTATGTTTATTATTGTATTCATTGTTCCAGGGTGTCGGTTTATCACAACAGACAATAAATAATCAGACCTCACACCCTAGCCTGTGTCATTATGTTATCTGGGATACATATACACATATTAATGGCTACAACAGTTGTAACATACTTAAAGTTGTCAATACTGGGGCTTGATTGATATGTTGATAGGTAACGCAATTGACATAGATATTGATTCAATAGTGGCAGGTAATATCAATATAGATTCATTACGTTAGTATCCTTAAATGACTAGAATATTTGCAGGCAACTTTTAGTCTTCAACAAATTATCATTGAACCCACAAGGTTTACTCAGCACCCCCGAACATTTAACTAGTATTATACTCTTCAGGAGCTCTTGACCCTGTGACTGGTGACCATTGTCTCGTACATGTTAATCTGAGTAGCTCTAAACCCATTGACATAAGTTATAAAAGAAAGATGTATTATTAGTTTCCTTGACAAGGTGAAATTAATGTGGTATTTGTGTAAGTATAACTGTATGCTCACCCTACTGAAGGTGCCAGATACACCAACAATGTCCTCAGCTACAATTACCTTAAGTCATTGGAGTGAACATTGCTTAAAGTAACATTCACCAGAACCTAAGAGGTAACATAAGCTTCATGGAGTGAGTGAGTGAGTGAGTGAGTGAGTGAGTGAGTGAGTGAGTGAGTGAGTGAGTGAGTGAGTGAGTGAGTGAGTGAGTGAGTGAGTGAGTGAGTGAGTGAGTGAATGGTTTAATGTGACTTTTGACATTAACATTATGGCAGAAGACACCAGAAATGGGATTCACACATTTCACACATTATACTCATTTCGGGAATTGAACCCGTACCTAGAATGACAAGTGGACACTTTAACCCTGAGGCTACCAGGAGACACTGAGGCTGACTACAACTATTTACATTATGAAGACAACCACATCAGATCCAAGTTCAACTTATAACTTTATCAGTGACATAAACTGTTGGACAAAACAAAGAGTGCACATGAAATCATATACCAAATGCAGCACCAGTGCATTGTTGTCCTCCATGACAGTTGCAGGGTTTTAATAAAACCAAATGAAAGGTACCCAGAAAGGCGTGCTTTGCTCTCTGTGACTATCCAATCATCCCAGTGTGCCTGCTGTATATCAGGCCCATAGAACCCATGTTGTCAGCCCACTGTAGCCAGGTGGTCGGGATGGGTGAGCTGGCTCACTGTGTGTCACTTTACCCAGAACACAGTGCTGACCTATACTGCTGGATACATCTATTGGTCATTGCTCTTATTCACAGACCACCGTCATATAGCTGGAATATTGCTGAGAACGGCGTTAAACAAACAAACAAACAAACAAACAAACAAACAAACAAACCAAAGCAAAACCCCCCAAAAAACAAAATAGATACTTTAGTCTCAATATGAACTGTGGAATAACTGTGTTAAAGCCCTGGCAGGTTTACTAACAGTGCAACATTGTTTCCCCAATGGCAAGGGAGGAGGGGAGGGGAGGGAAGGTGGGGGTTGTTGTGGGAAGGAAAGGAACATGCATAATTTATCTCTCTTCAATACGTCGTTGACAATGGCCCCAATCCCACAGGTGAGCTGCCTCCTTTAAATCATTGCATCTTACATGCAGGCATAATATGACATTGACATTGACATTGAACACGAGGACAAATGACAGTAGTTGGATCCATGATGGTATTTTAAATATTTAAAAAATCCACAATATTATTTTTGATGATTGATGGTGAAATATGAATCTTTGTATATCTTTGTAATGACGTGCCAATGCAGTCGACTTCTTTTCCGTCACTGTGGACGACATTCTGAATAAATGATTGTGACATGCCGACTACACCGTTGTTTATTAGGCGTGGCAGACAGAGTTAACAGAAACTGAAGCTCTCTCGTGTGACGGAGCACTTATGGATTTTCTGTTGCTGCAAAGACAATTTACCTTTGCACGTGCTGCTCAATGCTACCTAAATATAACCTACCTACACAATGTGAAAAGAACTCTTCATATTCCTCTCTGGGATAATAAGCAATGGGCGACTTGACGTGACAGGCGCAAGGGAGCAATGGCTGCATGGAAGGAGTACAATTCTGAATGGAAGGAAATGAACGCAATAGGACGTTGGCAGCGTTATGTTGAGCCCTAAACAGACAACTAGATATATCTTAGGAAAAACGACAAGGACCCAGACCAATCTAAATAGCACGCAAGCTAGTAGTAAAGCTGTTTTGTGAAATTTTGTGAAAGGAATTCTCCCAGATATGGAGTATCCGTGGGCCGTCGTTGATAAAAACGAGTTCCGAAAAAATGAAAATGATCGTTCCCCATTTTTGGATTGTTAGTAGTGTATGGAACATTTTGTTGAATTATTCAGCCGCTGTTATTTGCCCAAACTGTCTATATTCGCTACGCGGCACTGTGCGAAAATTTGCACTATTTTCTCTTTTCTGGGGACCATCACCAACATTCTCTGGACTATTTATTTTGTCCAAGAAATGTTTAAACGTGTACAATGAGTGCCATTTCTTTAAGTGAAATACATTCTTTGTGTGAGATAACGTTGAGCCAAAATTGTCACCATGGGCAGGGGTGCCAAAATTTAAAAAAAGGAGTATCGTCTTGAAACTCGGTAGGCGGGTCGGACAGGTCCCCCCGACCACGTTGACGTTCAAATTGTAGATTTTTAGCTATTTTCTCCAGGCCTTAGGGGCCACCGTAGTGTCAAAAGCATGACTTGTCACCATGGGCAGGGGTGCCAAAATTTAAAAAAAGGAGTATCGTCTTGAAACTCGGTAGGCGGGTCGGACAGGTCCCCCCGACCACGTTGACGTTCAAATTGTAGATTTTTAGCTATTTTCTCCAGGCCTTAGGGGCCACCGTAGTGTCAAAAGCATGACTTGTCACCATGGGCAGGGGTGCCAAAATTTAAAAAAAGGAGTATCGTCTTGAAACTCGGTAGGCGGGTCGGACAGGTCCCCCCGACCACGTTGACGTTCAAATTGTAGATTTTTAGCTATTTTCTCCAGGCCTTAGGGGCCACCGTAGTGTCAAAAGCATGACTTGTCACCATGGGCAGGGGTGCCAAAATTTAAAAAAAGGAGTATCGTCTTGAAACTCGGTAGGCGGGTCGGACAGGTCCCCCCGACCACGTTGACGTTCAAATTGTAGATTTTTAGCTATTTTCTCCAGGCCTTAGGGGCCACCGTAGTGTCAAAAGCATGACTTGTCACCATGGGCAGGGGTGCCAAAATTTAAAAAAAGGAGTATCGTCTTGAAACTCGGTAGGCGGGTCGGACAGGTCCCCCCGACCACGTTGACGTTCAAATTGTAGATTTTTAGCTATTTTCTCCAGGCCTTAGGGGCCACCGTAGTGTCAAAAGCATGACTTGTCACCATGGGCAGGGGTGCCAAAATTTAAAAAAAGGAGTATCGTCTTGAAACTCGGTAGGCGGGTCGGACAGGTCCCCCCGACCACGTTGACGTTCAAATTGTAGATTTTTAGCTATTTTCTCCAGGCCTTAGGGGCCACCGTAGTGTCAAAAGCATGACTTGTCACCATGGGCAGGGGTGCCAAAATTTAAAAAAAGGAGTATCGTCTTGAAACTCGGTAGGCGGGTCGGACAGGTCCCCCCGACCACGTTGACGTTCAAATTGTAGATTTTTAGCTATTTTCTCCAGGCCTTAGGGGCCACCGTAGTGTCAAAAGCATGACTTGTCACCATGGGCAGGGGTGCCAAAATTTAAAAAAAGGAGTATCGTCTTGAAACTCGGTAGGCGGGTCGGACAGGTCCCCCCGACCACGTTGACGTTCAAATTGTAGATTTTTAGCTATTTTCTCCAGGCCTTAGGGGCCACCGTAGTGTCAAAAGCATGACTTGTCACCATGGGCAGGGGTGCCAAAATTTAAAAAAAGGAGTATCGTCTTGAAACTCGGTAGGCGGGTCGGACAGGTCCCCCCGACCACGTTGACGTTCAAATTGTAGATTTTTAGCTATTTTCTCCAGGCCTTAGGGGCCACCGTAGTGTCAAAAGCATGACTTGTCACCATGGGCAGGGGTGCCAAAATTTAAAAAAAGGAGTATCGTCTTGAAACTCGGTAGGCGGGTCGGACAGGTCCCCCCGACCACGTTGACGTTCAAATTGTAGATTTTTAGCTATTTTCTCCAGGCCTTAGGGGCCACCGTAGTGTCAAAAGCATGACTTGTCACCATGGGCAGGGGTGCCAAAATTTAAAAAAAGGAGTATCGTCTTGAAACTCGGTAGGCGGGTCGGACAGGTCCCCCCGACCACGTTGACGTTCAAATTGTAGATTTTTAGCTATTTTCTCCAGGCCTTAGGGGCCACCGTAGTGTCAAAAGCATGACTTGTCACCATGGGCAGGGGTGCCAAAATTTAAAAAAAGGAGTATCGTCTTGAAACTCGGTAGGCGGGTCGGACAGGTCCCCCCGACCACGTTGACGTTCAAATTGTAGATTTTTAGCTATTTTCTCCAGGCCTTAGGGGCCACCGTAGTGTCAAAAGCATGACTTGTCACCATGGGCAGGGGTGCCAAAATTTAAAAAAAGGAGTATCGTCTTGAAACTCGGTAGGCGGGTCGGACAGGTCCCCCCGACCACGTTGACGTTCAAATTGTAGATTTTTAGCTATTTTCTCCAGGCCTTAGGGGCCACCGTAGTGTCAAAAGCATGACTTGTCACCATGGGCAGGGGTGCCAAAATTTAAAAAAAGGAGTATCGTCTTGAAACTCGGTAGGCGGGTCGGACAGGTCCCCCCGACCACGTTGACGTTCAAATTGTAGATTTTTAGCTATTTTCTCCAGGCCTTAGGGGCCACCGTAGTGTCAAAAGCATGACTTGTCACCATGGGCAGGGGTGCCAAAATTTAAAAAAAGGAGTATCGTCTTGAAACTCGGTAGGCGGGTCGGACAGGTCCCCCCGACCACGTTGACGTTCAAATTGTAGATTTTTAGCTATTTTCTCCAGGCCTTAGGGGCCACCGTAGTGTCAAAAGCATGACTTGTCACCATGGGCAGGGGTGCCAAAATTTAAAAAAAGGAGTATCGTCTTGAAACTCGGTAGGCGGGTCGGACAGGTCCCCCCGACCACGTTGACGTTCAAATTGTAGATTTTTAGCTATTTTCTCCAGGCCTTAGGGGCCACCGTAGTGTCAAAAGCATGACTTGTCACCATGGGCAGGGGTGCCAAAATTTAAAAAAAGGAGTATCGTCTTGAAACTCGGTAGGCGGGTCGGACAGGTCCCCCCGACCACGTTGACGTTCAAATTGTAGATTTTTAGCTATTTTCTCCAGGCCTTAGGGGCCACCGTAGTGTCAAAAGCATGACTTGTCACCATGGGCAGGGGTGCCAAAATTTAAAAAAAGGAGTATCGTCTTGAAACTCGGTAGGCGGGTCGGACAGGTCCCCCCGACCACGTTGACGTTCAAATTGTAGATTTTTAGCTATTTTCTCCAGGCCTTAGGGGCCACCGTAGTGTCAAAAGCATGACTTGTCACCATGGGCAGGGGTGCCAAAATTTAAAAAAAGGAGTATCGTCTTGAAACTCGGTAGGCGGGTCGGACAGGTCCCCCCGACCACGTTGACGTTCAAATTGTAGATTTTTAGCTATTTTCTCCAGGCCTTAGGGGCCACCGTAGTGTCAAAAGCATGACTTGTCACCATGGGCAGGGGTGCCAAAATTTAAAAAAAGGAGTATCGTCTTGAAACTCGGTAGGCGGGTCGGACAGGTCCCCCCGACCACGTTGACGTTCAAATTGTAGATTTTTAGCTATTTTCTCCAGGCCTTAGGGGCCACCGTAGTGTCAAAAGCATGACTTGTCACCATGGGCAGGGGTGCCAAAATTTAAAAAAAGGAGTATCGTCTTGAAACTCGGTAGGCGGGTCGGACAGGTCCCCCCGACCACGTTGACGTTCAAATTGTAGATTTTTAGCTATTTTCTCCAGGCCTTAGGGGCCACCGTAGTGTCAAAAGCATGACTTGTCACCATGGGCAGGGGTGCCAAAATTTAAAAAAAGGAGTATCGTCTTGAAACTCGGTAGGCGGGTCGGACAGGTCCCCCCGACCACGTTGACGTTCAAATTGTAGATTTTTAGCTATTTTCTCCAGGCCTTAGGGGCCACCGTAGTGTCAAAAGCATGACTTGTCACCATGGGCAGGGGTGCCAAAATTTAAAAAAAGGAGTATCGTCTTGAAACTCGGTAGGCGGGTCGGACAGGTCCCCCCGACCACGTTGACGTTCAAATTGTAGATTTTTAGCTATTTTCTCCAGGCCTTAGGGGCCACCGTAGTGTCAAAAGCATGACTTGTCACCATGGGCAGGGGTGCCAAAATTTAAAAAAAGGAGTATCGTCTTGAAACTCGGTAGGCGGGTCGGACAGGTCCCCCCGACCACGTTGACGTTCAAATTGTAGATTTTTAGCTATTTTCTCCAGGCCTTAGGGGCCACCGTAGTGTCAAAAGCATGACTTGTCACCATGGGCAGGGGTGCCAAAATTTAAAAAAAGGAGTATCGTCTTGAAACTCGGTAGGCGGGTCGGACAGGTCCCCCCGACCACGTTGACGTTCAAATTGTAGATTTTTAGCTATTTTCTCCAGGCCTTAGGGGCCACCGTAGTGTCAAAAGCATGACTTGTCACCATGGGCAGGGGTGCCAAAATTTAAAAAAAGGAGTATCGTCTTGAAACTCGGTAGGCGGGTCGGACAGGTCCCCCCGACCACGTTGACGTTCAAATTGTAGATTTTTAGCTATTTTCTCCAGGCCTTAGGGGCCACCGTAGTGTCAAAAGCATGACTTGTCACCATGGGCAGGGGTGCCAAAATTTAAAAAAAGGAGTATCGTCTTGAAACTCGGTAGGCGGGTCGGACAGGTCCCCCCGACCACGTTGACGTTCAAATTGTAGATTTTTAGCTATTTTCTCCAGGCCTTAGGGGCCACCGTAGTGTCAAAAGCATGACTTGTCACCATGGGCAGGGGTGCCAAAATTTAAAAAAAGGAGTATCGTCTTGAAACTCGGTAGGCGGGTCGGACAGGTCCCCCCGACCACGTTGACGTTCA